GGGAGAGACTGAGTGGTTCCAGAACTGCCAGCTTACAATGCAAGACATTTTGTTTTGAAGAAGTCTTGAAGGAGGCTGCCCAGTATTCATTCCCCACGCCCACTGACTGCACTGCCTCTCCATGCCAGTGTGGTAGAAGTGTCCTCGTGAGCACACAGTTTTCAAGACCATGTTTTAAATGGCTCATTGGGCGTGGTGCTGCCAGCACTCAGGACACCAGCTCAGCCAATGTTTTGCTAAATCACCTGGGAGGCATGAGCTGCTCACTGCAGCCATGCAGGCTGGGCAAAGCCAGCTTCCTCCTGAGGCAGCGCTGGTCACCCTTCTCAGTGAGGCCAACTCTGCACTGGGGGTTATGCACTGGGGCTCAAAGAGTGTGTGCGTCACCTCGAGCTGCCAGGGTTCTCTAAGGGCACATTCTCATCAGGAATTGGTACCAAGGAAAAGCTTCTTTGCCCAGCTGTGAGCATGTCACCATGGTGGAAGCTCCTGGAGGCTTTTGATGGTCTTGCAGGGTGGCCTGGACCCGTGAGCGAACACCTAGTACTGCAGACAGCACAGCTCTGTTTCTAACATCTAACACGTTTCTCATTCACCCTGGACCCGGGACAGGCACAGGTTTCTATACATTCACAGTATGATTCTGGAAATTTTCATATTTAAAAACATGCCTCAAACATGCAGATTTTAGAGGGGAAAAAATAGATATTTTTAATTACAGGCATTCAAAAGTCAAGCACAAAAACTGTGATCCAACCCAGTGTAAGATCATCCATCCTGTCATACTTCAATGTTTGGTATAAAAATACTCACTCTTGGTTTTACTGTTGACACCTTTTATGTTTTGTTTGAAAATATCTCCAAACTATACAAAAATGTATGTCAGACCATGCGTTCACAAATAACACACTATTTATTACAGTTATACAGTGTAAAAGAGTAAAACATTTTTATTATATTTTTTTTCTTCGAGAAAAAACAGATGTGTGATAGAGGCTGTGGCAAAGTCTTGAAGGGATCAAAACTGGGCAAGGTTTCTTTCAAACCTGGAAGAGAAAGAAATGTATGAAGAAAGTGGATTTCAGAGTGTGTGCAGTAATTAATGCCTCCCCACTGCGGGGTTGTGCATGGAGACACCTGTTGCTAGAATTCATGCTCTAGAAACTTGCACCTGGGGAAATTCTTGGTGATCCCTTACGAAAGTGTAGGTGTGTGTATGTCAGTGTGGAATGAATTTACTGATTCGCCAAGTAAAGACCACACAAGAGTACCGACGGCCTAACCTCAGATATATAGGGAGTATATTTAATTTTCATTTATCTCTCACTAGAAATTTCCAATACCACCTTCCCCTGCATTTGCAAGGAAATGCTCATACTTGTCTTGCTTTGTGGCAGGAAAAGGGGCCTTGGAAAAATCATTGAGACTTTCCGACTGCCGCTGGCAGAGCCCACCCTGGTCTACCAGGATGCTCTGAAATACATCTCAGCTCCTCCATCTGGGTTTAATTAACTATGTAAAGGCGGCACTGTGAAACCTCTATTATTATTCTGTCATGCATTTTACTTTTCTCTCTCCACATCCCTTGTTTTCTTGCCATCATCTTAGCAGCATGTCAGACTCATCAATTTGCGGTTGTACAAAAGGTACATGCAGGAGTAAATCAGCATATACTAGGAATTTGTACGGGAAATGCTTATTTGTGAGAGGAGGCTATAAAGAAAATAGTATCATTATTGAAAACCCATATAATTGTCCGAAGTTAGACTTATTTGGAAAAATGTGTATTTAGCAATAAATCCTGAAATTAGAAACATATTTTGGTGAACACTCAAACACAGCTAATCGCATGATTTTGTAAATACTCCTAGCCAACCAGGTCTGTCCCGTGTCGGCTGAACCTGAACTGTGATCCAGTCAGCCCTGTCACAGCCTGGTTTGTAGATGACAGCACAAATGGGCAGAAATGGGCCACGAGTCAAAAAACCCAATGTAGTTACCTCAGCGGCCCCCCAACCCCACCCCGGCCTGCTCCCTTTACTTTCTCAGCAGAAGTCTCTGAAACAGGCACGTGTCCAGCAGGAAGGACGCGCCTTCAGGAAAGCTCACTTTCTGACTCCTTTTGCCTCCCCTGGTCCCTCAGCAGATGCTGGGTGTGGGCCAGGCCTGTTCACATCCCCCTTCAGTGTAGGTAAATTGTCCTGTGGTGCTTCAGTGAGCTGGGCCATCGGAAGGACTTTTTTTTTTTAGATTAAACACCTTTATCACATGAGCTACGATAGGAGGGAAGGGGATTTATTTGCCTTTCCGGGCCTTCATTTTCCTCAGAGAGAACTCCAGCTCCTTGCCCTCGAGCACAGAGCCCTCTGCTCGGCCACACTGGCCTGGTCTTGAAGCGATGCACGCTAAAAGCCTGCCTGCTGGAACTGCTCCTCTAGGAGACTGCTGACTCTGGCATTCTTTTTCCTTTCATCATATTTCTTCTGAATTTTCTTTGATTGTTTTCTGTTTAAAATCTCTTCCTCCTCAGGAGTCAGGCTGGCCCCCTTTTGCGGCCCAGGGGCAGCGCAAAGCGGGACTCGTACCTGTGGGTATGGTGCGCTGTCAGAGCACAGCGCAGCTCTTCACTAGGGTCTTGTTGCGGGCCAGTTCGTTGTTGGACGCATTGTAGACAACATCAATGATCCTCGTTTTGCGCGTACAACACTCTGAGCCCCAGGAGAAGTTGCCCACATCCAACCTCAAGGCTCAATACTACTATGTTGCCTCCCGCACTCAAACGGTGTGTATGCAACGGGGTCCAATCTTAGTGTTGGCAGCAGGGCATCCCAGCTCATATTTTCACTTCTTGTGGTAGGGCTTTCTCTTGGCCCCAGTCTTGCGGCGCCTGTGCCAGTTGTCCCGAGAGATGCCCATGGCTCGGCGCTGGCTGGAAAGAGCTGGACCCTTCTTGAAAGCTATATTTCTCCTGCTACACTCTGATTTCTCCCTGGCAGGGGGTCTTATGAGGCCGGGCATCGCCTTTGGGGCTGCACTAGCTGACCCTCCCAATGAACCCATGCCCTTCTGGCCCTCCTGTCAAGTGTGAAGAGGCAAGACCCCCACCCCATTTGCCAGTCACCACACATCAACAGAGGAGGGAAACCAGCTTCCTTCCCCCACATTCTTGGCTTGTCAGGCCTGGAATGACACCTTCTATGTCATCCCAAATTGACCACGTGCCAGGAGCCCAAGCTGTGTGTGTTGATTCCAGGAAACCATTTCTGAGGAACAAGTCACTCTATGGCTGTTCATACTTTGGAACAATTCACAGGGGACGGCACTTGGCTGCCCTTAGACTCTGGGAACTGAAGGGGCCTACAAGCTGCCAACGGCCTCTTACAGAGCACGGGCTTGGAGAGGGCCACCTTGGGAAAGCAGCCGAAATTGGATGTGGTGACAGGGCACTGAGACCAAGGGTCTGAAATCAAAGCTGCCACACTGCTTTCAGGGACTGAAGGAACAGGCAAAGGAGCATCAGCTAGGTGAAGTCCCTGTCACCTGTGCCAGCCCTTGGCTATGTGTGGTAAGGGGCCTGGCTGGCCTACTTCTGCTTTCTTCTCAGGAGCGCGCACAACCATCGTTGGCCAAGTGTATATTGCTAGTCCTGGCCTCTTCCTGGTTCCACACCCAGTTCTTGGACAATTCTCCCCACTCCTGTCAGCTTTGCTCGGGACATTCTGCCACGACCTCAAAGGCACCATGTCTAAACTCGGACCTACTAAACCTTTCCGTACCACAGCTCCTGATCACTCTCCCTGTGTCTGTCCCTGACACAGCTCTCTCTAGGATCCTGCTGTCACTCTGACATCACCATCATGGGTTTGCCTTTCTTGTTGCGTGTTTCCAACATGATTCTTCACCCATTCTGCTGTGGGCAGCAAGATGGTAATGACTCCTAACCCCGTCCCCCTTGCTCATATCTCACCAGTGCCTCCCCCAAGACCCAAATTCCTAACACATCCCTCAAAAGTAGGTCATATTCTTACTTCCTCCCTTCTGTTCTAATCCCTCTCTAGTCCTATCTTTCCAAACTCAGTATAAGCCTCGGCCTACAGGGCTTTCTCCAGTAACACTCCTCCAGGAACTCTTGCTGTCCAGGCCACTTATTTGGCTTTCACAAGGATTATCTTGGATTATTTCCCTCCCTAAAACTGTTTCCTCTTTCCTCCACCCCAGACATAGTCACTTGCATATAGTGATAATCCAGACACTTGGGCTATATGACAAATGAAACAGGAATGATGGGCCTTTAACAGGATAAGGCACTGAAACTTGGCTCCCTAGTCTTGGTAATGCCTTGGGCTGAGAGGAGACATGCCTAGGAACCCACACTGGGCTCCACATACTGGCCCAGTGGCGCTCTGAGCACCTCTACTGCGCAGCTTTGGCCCTGACGGGTCTTCTAGAGGAAGCTGGCACAGGGAGGACGGGAAAGGTACCTCCAGCACTCCTGACCTCAGGGTTCTGTCCCTTTCTTCTTCGACCCCTGAGTAAGGAAGAAAGGCGGGAGGGGTTCCTGGTTAGTTCTGGCTGATTAGAAAGGCTGATCTTTTGAAGTGAAAAACCTGGAAGAGGGATGGAAGTCTATAATTTCCTGAGCTTTTCTTTCCATAACTATGTTGTGTAAATGTAATTCTCACATGGGAAAAGAATGTGTCCCGTGGCCATAGATGTTCCCAGACTGAACAGAAGGTCAAAATGTGGCTATTTCAGTCCCTGTAAACAAGGAAGGGGTTTCGCTAGGAATGGAGTTCAAACCTTGGAATGTATTAACAAGGACATTTTAAACAGAATGCAAAGACATCCGAGAAAACAAAGCACCGTGGGGGGAGAGGGTCAGGCTCTGTTTGGAGAGCAGATTCTCCTCACAGAACCTTTCCTGAAAGGGGGCCGTCTACAGCATGCTGTGATGGGGCAAGCAAGGGAAGAAATATATTTAAAGTCTTGTTTGAGATAAGTCACAACCGTCTGAATGTGAAGACAGTGGAGAATGTATACTGGTATCTTAAGAGCATTATACAATTCTAAAACATTTCATTCTTAAGAACATTATTCAATTCTAAAACATTTCATTTCAGTTGTTCTTGATCAAAAAGATCAGTGTGTGGCCCTCAGTACTTGGAGGTAGCTAGGGGTGGGGACAATGTCAAGTCCTGGCAAGGGCCGATTTCCCGACTCAACTTTCCCCTTGGTAAGTTCGAGTCTGTTTGTCCAAGTGCCTTGTGAGCCTTTTCTCCCAGCAATAAGAAAATTCTCTATTTCCCCCCATCCATCCACATATACAGATGCTCTTGGACTTATGATGGGGTTATGCACCAATAACCCAATGAAAATATTGTCAAAAATACATTTAATACCGAACATTATAGCCTTAGCCTACCTTAAAACATGGTCAGAACATTTACCTTAGACTACAATTGGGCAGAATCATCTAATACAAAGCCTATTTTATAATAAAGTAGATTAAAGACATGTTAAGACCTGAAATCATAAAATTCCTAGAAAACAGCCATTAAACTTCTGACACCTGTCTTAGTGATATTTTTTTGGATATATCTTCTTGGGCAAGGGAAAAATAAAAAAACAGATGGGACTACGTCAAACAAAAATTTCTGCACAGCACAGGCAACCACCAACAAAATGAAAACATACTGAATGGAAGAAGATATTCACCAAGGAGATATCCAATAAGGGGCTCAATATCCAAAATATAAGGAACTGGTACAACTTAACGATCCTATTAAAAAATGAACAGAGGACTTGAATAGCCATTTCTCCAAAGGACATACAGATGGCTAACAGACATATAAAAAGATGTTCAACATCACTAATCATGAGAGAAGTGCAAATTAAAACCACAGCGAGATATCACCTCACACCTGTCAGAATGGCTGCCATCAATAAATCAGCAAACAGGTGTTGGTGAGGATGTGGAGAAAGGGGAACCAGTGGGAATGCAGACTGGTGCAGCCATTGTGGAAAACAGTATAGGGGTTCCTTGAAAAATTAAAAATAGAACTACCACTCGACTGGCGGCACTCAGTGATTGAGCATCAACCTATGATCCAGGAGACTGGGGTTTGATTCCCGGTCAGGGCACATGCCCGGGCTGCGGGCTCAATCCCCAGCAGGGGGTGTGCAGGAGGCAGCCAGTCAATGACTTATCATCATTGACGTTTCTCTCTCCCTTCCTCTCTCCGAAATCAATTAAAATATATATTTTAAAAAATAGAACTACCACATGACCCAGCAATTGCACTTACGGGTATTTATCCAAAACACTAATCCGAAAAGAGATGCACCCCTATGTTCATCACAGCATTAGTTATAAGAGCCAAGACGGGAGAGCAACCTAAGAGTCCGTCAATGGATAATGGAAAAGGAAGATGAATATCTACAATGGAATATTAGCCAAAAAAAGGGAAATCTTACTATTTGTGACATGGATGGACCTAGAGGGTATTATGCTAAGTGAAATAAGTCAGAGAAAGACAATACCATATGATTTCACTTACATGTGGAATCTAGGGAACAAACTGATTATTGCCAGATGCGAGGGAAGTTGGGGTGATGGTGAAGGGATTAGGTACAAATTGGTGGTTACAAAATAGTTATAAAACAGTCATGAGGATGTAAAGTGCAGCATGGGGAAGGAAAATAGTAAATACTGTAATGACTACGGTGTCAGGTGGTTATTAGACTTCTTGGGGTGATTACTTTGCAATGTACAGGGTGGGCAAATAGGTTTACAGTTCGTATGGAAAATACAATTAATACAAGAATAAACTGTTTCATGTACTCAAAACTGTAAACCTGCTTTTGCCCACCCCTGCATATAAACCTTAATTACTGTGCTACACACCTGAACCTAATTAATATTGTATGTCAACTGTAATTGAAAATAAAAGTTGTAATGAAGTGCTCAACCTCATGTAATTTACACAAAAATACAATATCCAAAGAACACTGGCAACACAGTATGTTGCAGAATACTGACTGTTTACCCTCATGATTGTGTGGACCACTGCCCCGCCCAGCATCACGACAGTATCATCATGCCACAGATCACTAGCGCAGGAAAAGATCAACATTCAAAATCTGAAGTGAGGTTTCTACTTACTGAATGCATATCACTTTCATACCATTGTAAAGTCAAACCATGATAAGGCAGGGACCATCTGTACTTGACTTATTAACTAATACCGCCCCCCCCCCC